GAGGTGAGGTTTAAGGGTGAGTCGGCTGGAAATCGAAGTCTGAACGATCTGTTTGACTAACGAGAACGTTCACCACTGAACCAGTGACATACAAGTTCTTTGTGTAGAACTTGTTAATGCCACAAATACCTTCAGCATTGTTAGTCACATGAATTCATTGATTTACGAATAAGGCAGGAAATTACTAGTGAACATTTGTTCAAGAACACAGATATAAATAAGATCAACAGATACTTTGCGGTTGATTAACATACTGTAGAGGCTTGTTTATTTCACCTTTTATTCCTCTATGTTTGCAATATTATTCACTCCCACACATCCAATAATCACAAATTTATTTTTAAACACCGAATTTTGTACTGTTATGATTTCAACAGTTTCGTATAAGAAACGTTTCAGTATTCTGAGTCAAATGCCATTATTCATGACACAGTGATATTTGATAGTCCAGGCTGAATAAACTCTGATCAACAATGTCTATCTGTCTATTTTGGATTTGGATCAATGTAAAAAAAGTCATTTTGCAAAGCTAATACGTATTATCAGTCAGTATAAACATACTAAAATATGCCACAAAAATATTTAGCTGTTAGGATGTAAGACTTGTTTTTCAGTCGTGTGAACACACTGTTTTATTTTATGTTGTTTTTTTACAATCCAAGCATCAATCTATACTACAATTTCATGACAATTACTATTCATTATTAAACTAAAATGTAGAAACAGACTGAAAAAGCTACCTCAACTGCAATAAGTAATTTTCCTCTATGGGGAGAATACAAATTCCTTTCCCTTTTTCTGTTTTCATAACAGGCTTACACATCACAATTCTTCCTTGTAAACATACTTTTCAAGTGACGTTTTTAATACACAATACCCTTGTTTTGCTTAAAGAAAAAACAAAACAAAAAAACATTTTCACTGGTTGTATTTTGTACACTTCTGAAAATAAAGCCTACAGTCATTCGCTAAAGTGTACACAACTTTTTTAAAGTGTACATATATATATACTCATATTTCTCTTCAGGTTTACTATAACATTAAAAACTTTTCTGTTGCTTTTTTTGGAGATGTTATTTTTTTAATTTCCAAAATCAACTGTCCATTATTTTATTATACTCTAGCAGAAATACTGTATTCATTAGATATAATTACATAACTTATTTTGTCTCGCTTTAACTACTATTTTTCTCTGTCAGTGATTACAGATATTTATGGAAATATACTTACAGAATCCAGGAGCTATTCGGGTAAAACTGGCATTCACTAATAACTAGTTACTTTTAATTATAGCCGTGTAAATCTGTAGAACTAGTGATTTTTCAAAATCAATCAATTTATTTGATTTATAGTAAAAAAATTGTACATTATAAAGATATTTTAATTCATAAAATGAGCCTCACAATAAACAGTGATGGAACAGATTGCTTTTATGGGACTCTGACAATGGATAAACACGTTTATATAATGTTATTTGGTGAACTGTGGTTAGAAGTGGCATCTAGTCCAGGATGTGCATTTCATTCTGTTTGGAACTCATCAGCTGGTTGCAGTCTTGACCTAGGGACGTATTGGATAACCCTTAGGAGATTGTAACTAGTCTCGATAGGAACACCAACACTCAATTAGGATATAGGCACATCCTACTGACCAGTCTTAAAGAGGATGAAGTACACATCCCTCATTCTGTCGCTATCCATTATCAGCTAAATCGCCTAATATTAGAAAATATATGTCATGTGAAAGTCTGTACTAAGAGCAGCCACTGACAGCAAGAATCAAGGATTTCAGGCCGATATAAGTCGATTAAAGTGAAATTCAAATGGATTTATACCAATAAGTTCATAACAGTAGAAAATAATAAATTGATATTATGTCTTGAGATGAGTCATTAAACTTGTAAATCTCTGGTCTGAAATCCAAATTACACAATTCTTGATTTTAGTTACAGAACAACACAGGAATGTTTAAACCGTATGTAAACAGAATTTGAGCATTAATAGTAAAACTGATCCAACTTTTAAGTATCTCCAATAAATAACATATGCAAATTTGTTTTTCCAAAGAAAAACAACATCTCTAGGCTAAAGATTTCTGTAAACTCTGTTATTATGGCTAAGATTCGGAAAAAAAATCAAAATAGACTTCATCCTAATATTTTGTAAACACTTATTATTGTTGTTATTATTACTATTATTAAATTATTAATTCCCATTGAGACATATGACAAATAATTCAGAGAAGAATATTCTCTTAGACAATTTTATTTTCATAGCTGTATTACTGTACTACTATTATTGTTTCATTTCTTTGCGTTCTGAATGGAACATACAGCCTCAAGTCTCGAACTTTGAAGTTCCAGTGGAGATAATGTTATTTTCTCTATGAGATGGGGCTACTGGTCTCACGCCTCCTCTTTTCCAGGCTTACTACCGATAGATAGCAAGCTAGGCAAGGATAAGGAGTATGTCGGTGACCGGAAATCAAACGTAAACCACCTACGTGACTGGCGAGCATTCAACTATTGAACTACTGAAGCAATGCATCGCTGTAGAATGCTTTTTATATGGATCGCGATAGGGAATAACAAGTAAAATCTTTTGTTGTCCATTGTAATTCATAAATGAATATGAATTGTATGGCTATGAAAGTCAAATCGTCGTAAATAGGATTTTCTTCTCTGAAATCTTTGTCTTACTTATTACCATTACCATTATTTTAAAAATATAATCATCAAAAGACGGTTGCAGTGAAGAAAAATTTCTTTCGACGAAGTCATCAACTAGGCTGTACATTCGTATATTTATAGTAAATGTGTAAGAAACTTCCAGAACCGTTTCCAGTCAAAGATTAAATTAATAAAATTACGAAGTGTAATAATCAAGGAGATCAGCTAGCAAAGATATAATAAGCTCATAATTACGCAAGGGTGTATACATTTCGGTAATAGAACATCTGGTGAATTCAGGACATTCAGCTCCATTTGAAAAGTTCTTCAAAGTCATGTACAAGATTCGACCAAATCTCTCAAGGGAGTGAAACCAAGGCACCTAGGGATACCTGAGGCACTAACGATCCTAAACTTCAAGCTCACGTTATGCATTCAAAAGAAATACGTCCAACCGTTTTCCTTAATGTGACCACCATGAAAAGTCAGTCACATCAATAATGATTATCTTATTAGCTTTCCTATCCAACCTTCCTGTTAATTTCTGTTATTTCTACGTGTTTATTTCTTATACGCATTGCAAGATTTGCCTGTTTTTTTTATGAATATGTCTTTAATCCGTAATTGCACAAATAGTCAAGTTATTCAGTAATTATGATCTTATTATGTCTTTTCTACCCAATCTTTGACTGGAAATAGTTCTGGAACTTCCTGACACATTTACTATAAATACACGAATGTAGAGCCTAGTTGATGACTTCGTCGAAAAGAAATCTTTCCAATGATCCAATGTGTATATTCCGTAAAAAATATAACCTAGAATTGTAAAGGTAGAGAAAACTAGTAATACCAAGATAATAAAATAAATATGAAATAAATAAAATAAACAAAATTAAGTAAACATGAAATAACAAGTTCTAAATTTTGTCCAAATAAACAGATAAATATCAAAACAAAAGTGTTTTTTGAACTCATAAAAATAATATTTATGATTTCAATCCCTATTACCTAGACTTTACATTTACTTTTTACATAAATATTATTCGAAATGTTTGATCGGAATCATTTCTGGCTAATCTTAGTAAATTTAATGTCCTCTTCACATGTCATTTTTCGAAGAATTTAGACACATCGGAAAAATGTGATTATTTGCTTCACTTTATTGGCATAAATCTCTTGGTATAATAGAGAACAATGAATTTATCACCATTTTCTGAAGTGACAACAATCAATCGTTTTCGACTTAATAACTTTTATGTAAAGAGCATGATTAATTTCTTACTCATTTAGTAATTACAAGCACTTAGTTAGATGCGTGGCAGATTCTTGAGAGATGATATACAGTTATCTGAATGGTTCAAGTAAACATAAAGATATTTCATACACAAGTATCATGATTTGATATGATCGAATGTTGATCACCATGTCAGCTATAGTCCACCGTAGTTCAGATAGGAATTATTAGCATGGCTAGGATGATATCGTCTTCTATCCGAGTTTCGGCGCCAAGAAGTATAATGAATATCATTAAAAAGATTGCTTACAACGCTTGAAGATCACTTAGACATGGTCAATAAGTTTCTGTGGCAGAAAAGAGTAAGAACAAAGCAAGTAGTTCAGTGAACAGGCTTTTTTCAAAGAATTCATTCCCTTTAGCTATACAGTGGCAGTTATACACAATTATTTTCATGAAAGTAGTAACAATAGAGTGATGAGGCCTAAATTAACATTACTTAATAGTATAACAATGTTATTAAAATCTGTTTTTTTATTCCTTTTTGTTCCCAGTGGGACATAAAGCTTCAAGCTACAGCTTTGAAGTTTCAGTAACAGTAGTGTTTTATTTTTACGGGGTAAGATTGCTAGCCTCATGCCCAACCTTCGCTCTCAACCGATCTTATTACTGGCTTAGGGGGGTAAAGGTATGCATCAGCCGGGGATCAAACCCTGAACCAAGTGCGTGGTTGGCGAGCATTCTACCTCTGTGCCACTGACGCCAAAATCCATTATAATACCAGTTATTGATATTGATATTAAAATATCACTTTTATCACAACAAAATCTCATTGGCCCAAGAAACTGTTTCTCCTAAGTATCAAAGACTAGCTAACCAATATTTCCCAACTAAGAATAAAACTTTACATGAACTGGATAATGGTATATTTCTCCGGTTCTGTAAACCAACATACCATAGTAGGTAGGATAAAGAGAGAAAATACTCAGTCTAACATACTTGATAAACTTTTCATATGGAAAATAAATTATGCAAAACGCAGCTTCATATTCTATCAAGAGTAATGGAAATAAATAGTTGAACTGAATATTCACTTACGTTGAGTACTCATCAGTGATGGTTTTTTAACTATAAATTTTGTTTGTCAGAGGTAGGTAATCTATATTCTTGAGTAATATGTGTTTCTCGTTTATTTATTTATTGTTTTGTATAAGAAGATTAATTTGAAATATACGTGAAGAACCATAAAAAAAAGAGATAATGCACTGTTTTCAATAAATTTTATCCACGTTTTAATTTATTCGCAATCTTATTAGTTTATATTCATTATTTCGAAGCTTGTATTATATTTTATAACAGTCTTCTCAACGTTTATTATTTATCATAATATAAAGTATTCCATTTTGGTATAGTTAAGTAATTTTTAAACAAGTAGGTATTCCTCTTTTTATGGAGAAAAGAATCCCTGTTGCTTCTTGGCATTCTATTCAGAGATAACAGTTCTTCAGTCTGTCAAGTAGTTCCACAGATAAAGTCCATTAACACTTAGGTGTATGTAACAATAACAATAGCAACCTGAGGGTATGTATTCTTATAATAGTTCCAATAAATTTAATAATCCTTCATGTCATTAGACAGTGTTAGAAGTAGGTTGCTTTTTGTTTTGTTTTGTTTCTCTCAGCATTATGATTCATGAAACGTATTCATCACCACACAATTTCGGGAAAGCTGAATAATTATTCTTACAGAAAGTTCTGTTTTTTAATTTAAATAAGAATCACGGAAACTGACGAATACTCCTTTAAACGAAATTCCATTTTAGCGCGTTAGTATTTCTACAGGTTTACTGGAATAAAGCAGTATTTCTCTTTCATAATAATAATAATAATATGACACTACTCTGTGTTATCCTCTGGCATTAGCCAATCACAGTCTATTCTATATGTATATGTATGTCTTATGTTAAGTGTCAGTAAATGAAAGCAGAAATTTATTTATCTCCCTTATATATTTGTAGAAAGAAGACAAGAGAGAAATACAACAAATAGGTTAATACAGAAATACAAAGGCGAATTAGGAGAACAAATAAATTTTTATTCTACTTCGACTCTTGAAAAATACCCTCAGAGAGCGAGAGAGAGAAGTATGTGAATTGAAGACTACTGATTTCTGTTGAGGTTTCTTCTTTTTTAAAACAAGGATTGATTCATTAATACTCTCCTCTTTTTGTGATTGTCAGTATCAATTCTTTTTTTTACAAAAAAACTTAAATGTAAATTAATTACATATCTTGCCGGAAAATCAAGTAATAAAGAAAAAAGAAAGTAAATAACTAGAATTACTGTTTTAAAGTTATTCAAGAATTTCACTAGTGAGGCAAATAAAGAGGAAATCCATTTGCCATGTAGTTTAGATAAAAAGTTGAAAATATACTGCCATATAATGGATTAGTCACTAAGAAATAATCAGTGTTGTGCAGACAGAATTCTGTCAGTCAAGTTTTCACCGAGATGACGAGCGGCCTAATTTGATGACAACAGCACCAACACTAAGAACTAGAAAAATGACATTGACTACTCATTTGTGATTAACCACTAAAGTCCTACAAGAAGTCATTCGTGAGTCTGAACAGCCCAGTGGTGTAACGTCTTTGACGGTAACGCTTTATGACTCCGGTTGAAATCTCAAGGAGGACATGACTTCCAAGATTACTCTAAACTGCAGCGACCTAAGTGAACGGATGTCAGAATGCCCTTGATAAACCTATCAGATGAGCCTGTAGGAAAAACGCTTAAATATAGGCACAGTACACAAATTCTATCTACAGGTAGTATTTGAGTACTGTCTGGATAATGGGCTTATAGGAAGCTTGTAAATGTGGAGGAGTAATGTCGTTACATAGATATGCAGCTGCTACTGATGGATACGCGTACAGATGTCCAGGATGTCATTATAAAAAAAGAGTGTCGTCCGTTTTTAAAGCTCTTTATAAGTCATGAAACAGCATTATATACAGTCATCTGAATAAATTTCTGCATAGAAGTTGGTTTAGACTATCACTGAAGAGTTCGATAAGGAATTAGGAGTTATTCTCAGAACACATACGAGAACGTTATTCTGTAAAACTATTTTGTAACACTAAATTTGATTTTTATAAAAGTTTATTTTAAATTAAGCATTTTCACTATGGGTTCATCTGATTAGCTGATCAAGTCTACTCTGACGTCCTTTGCTTAGGTATCGTTAATTTAGACTAACTACTTTTAGGTGCGCCTCGCTGATGAATATCAATAAGTGCGAGACCTAGGTCCAGGACCTCCTGCTGATTCCCTCTAATCATCTAATAAAGTGTTAGACAGGAAACTGCCAACTTCGAAACAGTGAATTAACAGTTTCTTATAGTCTACCTACCATAAATATACTATTGTCACTATTTCTGCCTATTTTTAATTTTAATTTCACACTTATATACTGTTGATATTAGTGATAATATAAATGTTCTGCTGGTCATTTTTCCTCTTACTATGTAATTTAAAGAGAAAATTAAGTGTAAAATTGTACTACATGCCAAGAGTTCCACACCGTATCAAAAGTATAGTTCAGAAGAGAACTATTATTATTATTAATGTTATGAAACTGAAATCTCTTATTTTGAAATTCTCGCCTAATGCCTATATCCATCTAAATATTATTGGAAAGTCAGACTAGGAGTAAATGACAAACATCCAGTCAAATTTCATTTGTTCTCCAGCCGTGTGTTACAGACAAATGGCGATTTCAGCTGTGGATGGCAAAGAAATTTAGAATCATCAACTTTAAATGTTTTTCTGCAATCTGAAGTTTTGTAGCGATTAGATCGCTAGCCACACACCTAATGTTTCCTCTCTTTCCAATCTTAGGATTGGCTAGTAAACAAGGTACCAGGCCCTTGAGTGGAATCCAGATGGGGAAATACGTGTATGGCACTCGAGTGTTACATGGAGGAGATCATGTAAGATGGAGATAAAAGTTTTTGGGAAATCGTGTAAACAGCTAGAAACGACATCAGAGAACCAAGTAGAATGATGATATTCTGTTTAAACTGCTTCAGCTGTTTGTTTTTTCAGCCGAAATTAACGTACATTAAAGAACACAAGTAATAAAAATGTGTGTGAATTAGACAATGGCCTCCTTTATATGAACTATACACTTACTGTCTATACAATGAAATTTTAAGACATAAACAAATAAGTTGAAAAACAACTGTAATAACCCATTGTCGACTAGAATTGTGATACAGCTATAAGATTTCTCGCAAACAAACAACAAAATCATATTTTATAAATACCTTATCCATGATAGTCTAAACCCGTTGACATATCACCGAATATTTATGTTGTAATAGAATTAAATAAATACCGCATAAATTAAAATTATGAAATTGTAAGCTGGTTTGGCTTAAAAGCAAATATTAGTAATGAATAGGAGTCTGTGTTTCGAATAAGAATAAGAGGAATGCAGCAGTAAAAGCTATACCAACCCAAATTCTGAATAAATATTAACCTTTAGATACATAATAGTATGTGATAAAAATAAATTATCAAACAAAAATTAAAAGGTCACTTATTATATGTAAACGATAATAGTATGACAAAATGTAAAAAATAACTGTAGATATCCAAATAAAGTAAGGCTGTTTAAGCAATCGAGTTTTGGAAGCTTTTAGTGTGTGTTCCATTATGGGTAAATTTTATTTTGATAGAGTCTCACAGTGTTATACAGTAATATTTACTGATGACGTTTCGAGCACAATTTATTGCTCATAATCATATCAAGGTAATCACACGACTTCCTAAATTCATTTATATAGTTCCATTATTTTTCACTTGATTTCCACTTGATTTGATTGGTAGTGTTATTTTCCATATTTCGGGTATTAGTGATGATTCATTCCTATTGCACGTGTTGGGTGTAGATTCGATGAACAAAGATTCAGTAATCAACCTCTCTCTCCACCTACCTAGATTACTTTTTAGAATTTTAACCCTCTCCCACCCTATTGTGTGGTTGTGTGTTAATGCATGCATTGCAATTGCCGAGCTTTTTTCTAAATTACTTATCTTTTCTGGGTCAACCATTCTTATCTTAGCTAAATTCTTATGTTCTGACAATCTGACTATTCCTGACCTACTAGTTTGACCTATGTAGTTGACCTCACAGTCATTGCAGGGTATTTTGTAAATTATATTATTTTGTCTAATTGGGTCCACTGGGTCCTTTAACCTACAGAGCTTGTCCCTGAGTGAGTTTGTAGGTTTAAATGCCACCCTAATTCCTGCTTTATTTAGAATCCTACGTAGGGTCTCAGATGTCCCCTCTTTATATGGTATAACTGTCGATGACTTATATTCTCTCTTATTTATGTTATCATTACTAGTTCCACAATTATTTTTATTTTTATTTTGTTTCTGGCCTTTAGTTATCTTCCTAATGAATTTTAAAGGATAATTATTCAACACCAACGCTTCTTCTATCTGTTTTATTTCGTCGTTTAGGTCTTTTTTTGTGCTACTTAGTGCTATGGCTCGGTTTGTTAGACACTTAACTAAGCCTGCCTTAACAGTTAACGGATGCGACGAATTAAAATCTAAATATCTATTAGAATGCGTTGGTTTTCTATACACACTAGTGTGAAGTTTACCTTCTTCTATTCGTTTTATTTTACAATCTAGCATAGCCAACTCTCCTTGTTCATCTTCCGATTCAAATGTGAATTTTATCCCCTCTACTAGTGAGTTAATATGTGTCAAGAAGCTAGAGATATGTTCTGTTTTTAACACTGTGAAAGTGTCATCCACATATCTCCACCATATTTTTGGAGTAGGATTAAACGTATTAAGTGCCATATTTTCCCAGCTATCCATAAATATATCTGCTACGATAGGGGATATTGGTGATCCCATTGCTACACCTTCAGTTTGTCTATATATTTTGCCTTGGAATCTAAAGATAGTAGATGTGAGGCATAGCTGAACCCCTAAAATAATTTCTTCAATGGACAGCTTTGTCCTATGATTGAGTTCAGTATCCGCAGTTAGTTCTTTTTTAACTGCTTCTAAGGCCATATTGACTGGTATATTAGTATAAAGACTGGTTATATCAAAACTAACCATTGTTTCATCATTATCTAGTTGTATGTCATTTAGTTTATTTTTCATTTCATATGAATTAGTTAGTCTAGAATTTGAACGATTTCTAATGGGACATAATATTAGAGCTAAATGTTTT